AACTTGAGGCAATAGAAAACATAGAACTTGAGGCAATAGAAAACATAGAACTTGAGGCAATAGAAAACATAGAACTTGAGGCAATAGAAAACATAGAACTTGAGGCGATAGAAAACATAGAACTTGAGGTGATAGAAAACATAGAACTTGAGGCGATAGAAAACATAGAACTTGAGGCAATAGAAAACATATAACTTGAGGCAATAGAAAACATAGAACTTGAGGCAATAGAAAACATAGAACTTGAGGCAATAGAAAACATAGAACTTGAGGCAATAGAAAACATAGAACTTGAGGCAATAGAAAACATAGAACTTGAGGCGATAGAAAACATAGAACTTGAGGTGATAAAAAACATAGAACTTGAGGCAATAGAAAACATAGAACTTGAGGTGATAGCGTTTATAAAGTGATTCCTAAATAGTTTTCTATTGAGAAATATTAATCTTTAGTATCAAACCTTTACTTTCTCTCCTGGGTCTTCCACCAATGCAAGACTGTCAACCACTTCATCAAAGTCAACATTTTTCAACGTGCCATTGTCAATTCTCAAAAACAGAAAGCATGGACCATTCGATGGTAAATCGCAAATAGTTCTTTATATCAATAGCACGAAACCACAGACGCACACAACACACAGTTTTCAACACAGATCCTGATTAACAATTTAGTTTTTTTTGGTGAGGATTGGACAGAGTTTAACAAACCCTGGCACACTTGGCTCCCTGTTCTGACTTCTGTTATGAAAGAGACTCGAGCAGACTCTGTCAAATGTGAAGTTTCCATATAATCAACACCCCCCCCCCTTTTCTAAGTTTGTCACCCGATGTGGTCCAACACCCACGTGACGCCACTGCCCTTTTCCATTACCACAGTAATTTGGGATGACATTTTCGGTCTAGTTCATTCGCTAAGTATAGATTATGTTCCGTGTATATTCTGTACCCATTGTTTCTTTCGATAATTAGGTGTGGCAAACTGTGGTGGAGGATTGGGGGCGGGTGGTACAACCCTGGCTTGGGCGCCCGCAGGGGGAGCAAGGGAGGCACTTGCCCCCCCTCCCCCTGGATTGATTGGATAAAAAATTTTTAGACAAAAAATGTATTAAAGTAAAGAGAAAATAAAGAGAAAGTAACTAAGCTGATGTCCTGTCCGTTCGTTCACCATACAAATATGCTACAGAGATAAAAAAATTTTAGACAAAAATAGACAAAAAATGTATTAAAGTAAAGAGAAAATAAAGAGAAAGTAACTAAGCTGATGTCCTGTCCGTTCGTTCACCATACAAATATGCTACAGTAAATTAAAACTACATTAAAACATTACTAAAAATTGTTTGCCCCCCCCCTGGAAAGTTAATCGATTTTTTTGCCCCCCCCCTCGAAAGTTTTTTGCGGGCGCCCATATACTCTGGCGGTACTTTTTTCTCTATGTAGGTGCGGGTGGCATTTTCGCCGGAAAAGACGCAAGGCATAATTTTATTTTACTATCAGTAACTACTCATTATTTTGAGATTTTGGAACGTTCATTGGTTGAATTCTATACAGTGTATTGAAGCTTTTATTCTGAACCGAATAAAATGAAATATTAAGGAGCGAAGTAGAAAAAACAACCCCATACAAGTCGTCAACTAGGAGATAGTCATCAAAGAGCACGAATTTCTTTGGAAGATGCCAGATGACAGAAAGTAAGAAGCTCAGTGTTGGTCTATGTGACAGCTAGGAATATATAGGCCTTTGTGGCCGATGGAAAAAAATATAGGACTTTGTGACAGCTGGAAAAATATAGGCCGTTTTGGCAGCTGGAAAAATATAGTAGGCCTTTGTGACAGCTGGAAAAATATAGGCCTTTGTGACAGCTGGAAAAATATAGGCCTTTGTGACAGCTGGAAAAATATAGGCCTTTGTGACAGCTGGAAAAATATAGGCCTTTATGGCAGCTGGAAAAATATAGTCCTGTGTGATAGCTGGAAAAATATAGACTTATGTGACAGCTGGAAAAATATAGGCCTTTGTGGCAGCTGGGAAAATATAGGCCTATGTGACAGCTGGAAAAATATAGGCCTTTGTGGCAGCTGGAAAAATATAGAATATGTGACAGCTGGAAAAATATAGTAGGCCTGTGTGACAACTGGAAAAATAAAGACCTATGTGACAGCAGGAAAAATATAGTCCTATGTGATAGCTGGAAAAATCATAGACTTATGTGACAGGTGAAAAAATATAGACCTACACTATGTGACCGCTGGAAAAAATATAGACCTACACTATGTGACATCTGAAAAAATATAGACGTACACTAAGTGACAGCTGGAAAATATAGACCAACATTAATTGAAAGCTGTAATAATATAGACCTACACTATGTGATATCTGGAATAATATGGACCTACACTAAGTGACAGCTGGAATAATATAGACCTACACTATGTGATATCTGGAATAATATAGACCTACGCTAAGTGACAGCTGGAATAATATGGACCTACGCTAAGACATCTAAGTGACAGCTGGAATAATATGGACCTACGCTAAGACAACAAACGAGCATGCTTTAGACTTCCTCAACACGCAGAAGTTAAGACCCAGGAGAGGCGGCCATTTAATAAATTAACTTTAATTGCAACCATTGCGGTTTTATGCATATAATTGTCATTACCGGTACTAATAACGTCACTTTGGAGATGGTGTCGGTGGGTCGTCGAGTTTGCACTCGGGCCAGAGCCGAAGTTCCAGACCATGCGGAAGCGTGCAGGAACCTCCCTCCTCGCCTGAGGGATGCCCCGTCGACCGAAGACGCTGCGTTTAAAGCGTCCGCGGTCCACTCTCCTATTGGGTTTGGACGGCTTACTTCCTCTCCGGAGAAGAGGCGTTGTGTTACCTCACCCCACCGCCCAGGGAGCTGTTCGGTCGGGACGTAGCGGGAACGAAACGGTCGCCTAGGGGCGGCTTTTTCAGGGCCGCGTCTTTTTAATCATTGGCAAGGGTTTGGGCTGCCACCCATTGCCTCGTACCCATCAACGGCAACAGTAATCATGTTATTGCGAGCGTTTCGTTGCGTTGGAAGTCATGCAAGCTTCGGAAATTTTTAGCTTCGGGGAGTTACCCCCCCCCCCTTACTAGTCGTCCACGCCACGAAGAGGCAAAATCCCATGTGGCACCACCATTGGTGGTGTTGCTCCGTGGCCTAGAGGCATTCAGCCACAATCATCGCAAACGAATTGTCATTACTAAAAGAAATGAACATGTTGTACGATGACAATAATAAAGAAGTCAAAATAAAATGTGGAACCAAATACTTCTGCAATGCTGGAATTTATTAATTTTTAACGTTAAAAATATAAAAATTGACAAACCGCATTTACAGCCACTCGGTCCCGATTTAATACTTCTCAGCAACACGACTCACCGGTCGGGTTACCGGAAATCGGTTTGAAAGAAATTGCGTCGAAGGAAACTTGACCGACGGAAGTTTGATCGAACGGAAATTTGATCGAATTTTATTTTCATTTCACCCGATCAATTTTTATTTTTTTTGAACGCAATACACTATACATTAAAAACAAAATAATACGTTCAAAAAGAAATGTGACTAAAATTTGATCGTGTGAACTGAAAAAAAAAATCGACGAATTTTTTTTCAAATGAATTTCCGAATTCGCACTGGGCGCACCCTGGCAGCTGTATAAAAAAAAGAATATTAATAACCCGTCTGTAACTGTAGGCGCCGGTACGTCGCATCACCACCTTTAAAAGAATTCATTTACGAAGGCAGAAATTTAAACAAATGATATAGTTTTAAAAAGTTTTGTAATAGTTTAAGTAACTATTACAAAACAACATTAATACTTAGTAACAATTAAAAAAAAAATAAAAATTCACAGCTTTTCTCTGTTGCTCTTAATTTTTACGCAAAAATGCACCAAAATGAATCCTTGTATACTGAATAATCAATTTTCGGGGAGGTGATCCGTGAGCCCCTCCCCAGCCCCCACTTTGGATTAGGAGCGTTCAGCGCCCTTAATTTCCTTCTTCTCCCCCCCCCCCTTTTACGCCGTTCCATTTCAGGATGATTTAGTGTAGGCTATATGCCAGGGACATCGCTATTTCAAGGTTCGTTTTTCACAGGTTTCACTGTGCGAAGACACTATATATATATATGTGTGTGTGTGTAGTTTTTCAGGGGAGGAAACTCAAATTCCTCCCCGGGTGGCACAACGCCTCGCTACTTCACTGGTAGCATAACAAGGAGCGCGCATGACGTCATAAATTCTAGCTACTCCACTACCTTAACAAAAATAGTCTCTAAACTGTCAACTGAAAGTAGCACTCTCACGCAAAAAACAAAACCATCTGAAAAAATAAAAAGAGAAGAAAATATTATATGAAGTTAAATGCGATGGGCGTTTTAAAATCTTTGCATTTTTCCGTGTGAAAACACATTGGAGTAATTAGACTTAGTCAGTTTAATGAGTTTGAGGTCAACGCCGTGACAAGCACACACAAAATTATATTAAAACAAAAAAATTCTAAGTGTTTTGTTGTGTGTGTGTGGTTTACTTACTATAGCGAAGCAAATTGTGGAACACCCTTCGCTTGATGTAACGGTTGCACACTAATTACTACCACTTAAAAATCGTGTCTCCGTGCCAGGCTCGGATGGTATACTCAATACTGGATTACGGTTGTCCTGATAACACCCACCTCCCACTCATGCAATAGAGTGTAATGTATTCTTCTGTTAAGAGGGGGAAAAAAAAAGAAAGAACAAACAAATCATTTTTAAAAAAAAGTATGGTCTCTTATCTCTATCCTTTGAAAGTAGTCTTTCAATTCATCTGTGGACTAAACAAATTGCTGTAAGAGCATTCTTGCCGAGACAGCAACAAGTTTCGTGTCATCCGATGCCGTAAACTTATGGTGTCACAGCCACACTCCCCGCGTCAATTTTTAAGCAGATCATAGAGAACTACTTATAATATTATTTACAATTTATATCCTGAAGCAATAAAAAGACGAAAGAAGAAAACACAATTTGCGGTAACGTCGTTTAAACATGTCAACACATACACTTTTTATTGGACAAAACATTACACTTATCTTTCCTGGTCTTCAAAGATGAACACATGTCCATAACTAGTTCATAATCAACATTACCCACCTTACTGACTAAATTGCAAGTCTAGAAAGCCTGGACCATTCCGCGGATTATCGCAAATACTTCTTTAAATGCAAGAAGCCACAGGCACACAGATGGTGAGAGAAAAAATTGTGGCATGATGAGAGTATTGGGAGAGATTCGCAACCCTGCTCTGGCGGCATCCTGCTTTGTAGGAACTGTTCTCAGTTGGCACCCTGTTCTATTTGAAATCTAATATGATGACCCCCTGCTCTGTCTTGTGACACCCTGTTCTGGTGGCAACGTGCTATGGTGGCAACCCGCTATGGTGGCAACCCGAACTGGTGGCGCACTGTTTTTGAAGCATAATTTAAGAGTTTATTCTTGCAAATTTTGTAGGGTGGTGGGGTCGATGGATTGAGGGGTCACCCAGGGAAGCACTTTTCATACATGTGAGGGGCGGCATTTTTGGTTAACGGCCAATAAAAAGAAAGGGTACAATTGGATTTAAAGACGCGTGCCCCCCTGAATTTTGCTCACTATCATTCGACAGTAAAACTATCAAAAAAAATATTGGGAGACGTCTCCGAATCCTTTTTCTTTTTAAAAATTCAGGAACATGGAAAGAAAAAAATGTAAATAGTTTAAACATAAACAAGCCCATGAAAAACGACATGGTAGTCATCGAAGGCCGGCACCTGAGTGGTTGTGCTCTTTTGATGACGAAAGAATGACCGACTTGCTGTTTATCTGAATAAAATAGGACAAGTGCACAAAATAAAATTTTGCGCCCCCCCCCCACCACCAAATCAAAGAAACTCAGAAGTTGGCCGAGAGTAACGCCCCTCGTTATTTTGAAAAAAAGTTCCCCTCTGGCCGTTGGAACACCTCATTTTGTCCTTACGCCACTGCGTCCACCAGTTAAACTTTGCCGTTACCTATATCCTGCAACCATGCGTTTGGTTTTGGGAAGCTCAACCCTGGTGTAAGCTAGGGCGACCAAATCATGAACTGGGAAAAAAAACCGGGACATACGCAAGGATGGTTTGGGGGTGGGGAGTGGGGATACCCTCCAGCTAAAGGGGGGTCCGGGGGTCTCCGCCGGAAGCTGTTTATAGAAATATGCTAATGTTAACTGTTTTGAAATCTAGAAATCTTTTTAAATTTACCACCACTTTTGTTATTTAATTTAAAATCCGATGCATATCATAAACGAAAACAATTTTGCAATGATTAATTATTTATTTATTTATACACATTTTGCAACATAAAACAACACAACATATTAAATTTCTTTAGTCTAGGACAGTGGTTCACAACCTTTGTAATGCCGCGACCCTTTAATAGAGTTCCTCATGGTATGGCGACCCCCAGCCACAAAATTATTTTCATTGCTACTTCATAAATGTAGAGCATATGTGTTTTCAGATGGTCTGAGGCGACCCCTGGGATAGATTCGTGCGACCCCCAGGTTTAGAACCACTGGTCTAGGATTTAAATTGAGGATATTTGGCTGTTATCCCAGCCATTGTTCAAACCTCCTTCTTATCTAATATAAAGTTGCCCAAACTAGAACAGAAAATGTGTTTGGTTTTAGAAACGGGACATTTAGAGGTCCCGAGAGACTTTTTCGGGTACGATTGTACGGGACGTTTGGTCACCCTAGTGCATGGGCGCCCGGAGAAAACTTTCTAGAGGGGGGGGGGCAAAAAATCGATTAACTTTCCAGGGGAGGGGGGGCAAAAAATTGTTAGTAATGCTTTAATGTAGTTTTAATTAACTGTAGCGTATTTGTATGGTGGACGAACGGACAGGACATCAGCTTAGTTACTTTCTCTTTATTTTCTCTTTACTTTAATACATTATTTGTCTATTTTTGTCTAAAATTTTTGTATCCAATTAATCCGGGGGCGGGGGGGGGGGCGGGCAAGTGCCCTCCTTGCCCCCCCCCCCTGCGGGCGCTCATGCCCTGGTGTAAGGTAACGTTTCAAGGAGCCATAAAACCACGAATATATTATGAACATACAATTTTATTTCTCTTTACTTTAATACATTATTTGTCTATTTTTGTCTAAAATTTTTGTATCCAATTAATCCGGGGGCGGGGGGGGGGCGGGCAAGTGCCCTCCTTGCCCCCCCCCCCTGCGGGCGCTCATGCCCTAGTGTAAGGTAACGTTTCAAGGAGTCATAAAACCACGAATATATTATGAACATACAATTTTTCGTGTCACTCGACATAATGGGTGTTGAAACAGGGTGTAAGATCTATTTTTGCGCACAATTTTCATTCACCTAGATGAAATATTTCAATGGATATATTTTAGTTTATTTCACAAACTTAGAGGGGAGATACATGTCTACAAAAAGCTGTCACACTACTATGTCGTGACAACAAAAGTCGGGAAGATAAATGTAGGCAGAATAATGACTAATATCAAAGTGCCCCAGAGTGCAATCACATACATAAAAAAATGAAAGAAAAAAAATGTAAATTATACTGTACATTTTCCAAAACCCGTTGTTTGCTTCAGATTAGAGACTTTTAACTTTTGGTAAACTGTAAACACTTCAAATTTAAATCAAAGATTGATTATTGCCACCCCCCCCCCCCCCCACCCCCCCCCCCAAAAAAAATCATAAAAAAAATAAAGAATCACCCTTTTCTTGGCAAAATACCTAACTCGGTGCTCAATGTTTCATACAAGCGAATCTATTTTTTTATACGCGTTTGTGACCTTCTTGGCCTTAGATAACCATGAGCAATTTGGGAGGAGTTCAGTTCTATGACATGCATGGATGACCAACTGATGTAAGTTTATAGTTGCAGCCATTTCAAGTGGTAGTGGGATGGTAAATTTTCCAACTTCCGCTGTTAAGTTTTAAGTTAAATCCACTTCAGAATAACAAGGTCAGCTGTCAACAGCGCAATATCTTCACCATTTAAATTGCACGCTTGCCATTCTGTCAGGTCGGTAAAAGACATCATAGGACTAGGTCTAAGTAACAAGTAAAGAAGATGTAAAATTCTGGACACTTTAAGTTACTTTAACTTAAAGCACGATTTCATTCAATCATAATTATTTCAATCATTGCATTGATTCACGCTGTTTTCTAATAAATTTTTCATACTTTCGTAAAAATAATAGTAGTATCAGGGAACATGAAAAAATATAATTTAAATTTTGTAGTAATTAATTAATTATTTTTTTATCAACAGATGGTGTGTACAAATTGACGTCGAAAAATGCCAATAAGTAATCGCTGCAACGTACTGTACATTGCTGCCTCCATCTTGATGTTGTTTGCATTGAGTCAATGTTTGATTCAGGCAACAGGAGACACTGGTATTTTAAGGCGACTACAGCGTAATGCGGAAGAAGATGGGAATACCATGCCATCAACAAGTACCAAGGTGATTATTAAGTTTAAAAATAAAATTAGATTCTAACTACCTTACCAATGCCAATACCATAACCATTCATTTGAGATTAATAACTAATAATATAAATTATAATATTTATAAATAATAATAATAATCAATACCAGAGCCAGACTCAGAGTGAGTCAAAGAAAGCTGATTTTAAACTTTACTACCTGCAAATACCAGGATAGTTATTAAATAACATGACTAATACTTTTGGAAATGTATCAACAGTTGCCTTTAACAATAATTATTTTATAACTTGAGTGAAAAATAGATACATGATTTTTTAAAATCCTATAATCGATGTATAATCCTAATATTGATACTGATAGAAATACTTTTTTTGGTGTTATTGGAAAGTTTAAAGTCAGCTTCAGCCACTGATAACATTATCATGCATTATATGTCAGATGTATTTTAAAATTGAGCTGGAATGCCTAATATGAATTACTGCACCCTAATATGAATTACTGCACCCTGGCTGAAAAATGTGTGTCAAATATTGTACTTTTGGCCTATTTGCTCTTCCCTTACTGAAAATATGTGATATTTTAATAAATTATAACATTTAAAATATTTTCATGACTCTATTAACTTACATTAACTGTTACTTCCAAATAATTCAAATTTTCTTATTAATTAAAAAAAAAGTTTTTAAGTTTATTTTGTTTCACAATAAAATATAACAGGAAACATTGTGAACAATGTTTTTAAAAAATCTATACATTATGACTGTAAAGATATGTTATAGGTTTTTCACTTATTAATTTGAACTAACACATTTATTGTATTCTAAAGATTTCAATGATATATAGAATTTAATTTTACTTTTATAATTTATTTCACTTCTCTTTTCTCTGATAGATTTAAAAATTTGATAGTGTTAGAATTTTTTCATGGTGGCACATTTACTAGATTTACTATTGTATTTCTTTCCTCAGGTTATTGAGTCATTCCATATCAAGTCAGACATCCGCTTTAGATTTGCCACAACACAAATTGTCAGTGTTGTCAGAAATAAGGCAGACTTCCCTCAAGAAATTGTTTTTGATGTTGCATTACCAAAAGAAGCCTTCATAGTCAGTTTCTCCATGTAAGTTCACAATGAAGTATGTTTAAGTACATCACATAAATTAAAAGAAAATACCATTTTAGTTTTATGTTAGTAAGGACTGTAATAACTAATTTTTGATATGTACATTTTCCATATTTTTTTTTAACAGGGCCATTGATGGAAAAGTCATTGATGGGGAAGTCAAGGAGAAAGCACAGGCTAAGAAAGAATATCAGACAGCTGTAGACAGAGGAGAGAGTGCTGGAATCGTTCAAAATGCGTGAGTAACATGATAATGTTCTGATTTCCACTGTAGGTTCATTTAAAAAAAAAAATATTTTAATTTTGAGCTGGTGTAATAAGCAATATCCTTCTATATAACTAGAATTGTCTTAAGTTAACTAAAACGATCTCTGTTATAGAAAGTTTCAATCATTGTAACTAACTCATAAAGTGTATGCCCTAAATTAGGCTTCTAACTTGACTTATATTTTTATTTACTTCCTTGTTCAGGTCCATGGTTTAGTTGTGGCTAGTGTTGCATACTTGAAATTATCTAATTTTTTACTCTGAAACCTTCCTTAAAAATGGTACATAATGAGGTCTGAGTGGTCCAATCCATACACAGGCATTGGAGAGGTTAAACTCTTGAGCAGCAAATCTTCAGCAGAGGGGATCTCAATTATTTTATGTGTAATATAAAATTATTTCAAACATATGCTGGTTTCACTTCCCCAAGTAGATCTTTCTAAAGAATCACTTTCTGGAAACAAATTTTTAAAAAACCTCCCAAAATTATTACTACTGTTGAATACTGTATTACTATGCTATCGACAGAGAACAATAATAGAGCCACTGAACCAGAAAACAAATGGACGTTAATTACATAAAATTGTCTTAATATTATTGATACCCCGCTGCAATTTTAAATTCTTTAATTAAGTAACAAATTGTTTTATTTTTTCTGAGCCCCCGACACTCCAACACTTTTGAGATTTCTGTGAACGTAGCCAGTGGTTCAGCGGTCAATTTTACTCTAAACTACCAAGAGTTGTTGCAACGAAAGCTTGGCTTATATGAATATGAAATCCATGTCAAACCTGGCCAGGCAGTGGAAGATTTTCTGGTAGAAGTTAATATCCAGGCAAGTTATTTCATATTTTTTTCCTGATGTGGTATATTAATGGTCATTAGTTTCGCCACCAAAGGTAATATAAAATGTTAGTTTTCATGGTCATTAGTTTCACCACCAAAGGTAATATAAAATGTTGGTTTTCATGGTCATTAGTTTCACCACCAAAGGTAATATAAAATGTTGGTTTTCATGGTCGTTACTTTCGCCACCAAAGGTAATATCTAATATCTAATTTTTCACTTACTGCTACTAACTTTGCAGTATTAACTTTGACAAAACTAGCCAATGTATAAGCAAAAAGAACATATCTTTACCTACCTCCATTTACATTTAGGAGAATAAAAAGATTGGTGCTATAAGAACACCTGCTCTGCGCACAGATTCATTATTGACAAATAAAGTTGCAGGTGGGTAACACTAACATAGAGACAATTTTAAGTAATTAATCTCCAATATCTACTTAAATAACAAATTAAAAAAAAAAAATTATTTATTGAAAATTGGAAAGTTTTTCATATAGATCTCTAACATGACACCCCCCACCCTTTATGACACTACAATACTTAAATGTCATGCTATCAAAGTATTTATCACTTCCATAAAAATTTAATTAAGCAAACTACAAACCTATTTTTTTATTTTTTTTGGAAATGGGTCATTTGAGAGATTTTAGCTATGATCTCTAAAACATATTCTTATTATATAAAGATTAAGGAATAAGTCAATTTGCAAAGTTTAAAAATATAAATGCAGGTGGAATAAGTCTACATGCTCTTATATAAATCAAAACGAATAAGTCTATTTGTGTATTTTTATTATCTAGAAATAGAAGCACACATTCTGTTTACATTACAGATGAAAATCCTTTGACCATTATTGAGAGAATCAGTTCTCAAAGTGCTAAAGTTTTATTCAAACCAAGCAAGGCTCAGCAAGGTCAAGGTGGTGTGGCAGCCAGCTTTGTTGTTCAGTATGATGTTGAACACCCACCTAAAGGAGAGATCATGGTATGTTTATGAATGTTCAAGTCTCTGAAAACAATTATATTTTGTCAAAAACAATTTTTACCTACAATTTGAATAAAAAAATAAAAAAAAACTAAGATAAATAAAATGAGTTAATGAAACAAATGAACTTTTATTTAAGTCTAAATTTTCTTCCCCCAGATTGTCGATGGTTACTTCATTCATTTCTTTGCCCCTGATTTGCCCCCAATGCCTAAAGATATCATCTTTGTCCTTGACCTGTCTGGATCTATGCATGGCACCAGATTGGCTCAACTTAAAACAGCAATGAAAGTCATCCTCAAAGACCTGAAACCACAGGACAAATTCAACATTATCACCTTTAGGTAATCTTTTTTCTAGTACTATATACATTCTAAATATTACTTTATGTTTATTTGAGTTATTTTTATTAAGAAGAGCTTACTGGGCTACTAACTGTAGAAGAAGATGAACCCCATACTGACTGTCTCTCTCTCATATCTGCCTTTTATTCTAACAGTTCTGATGTGCAAAAGTGGCAAAAAAATCCTGTCTTTGCCACAGCTGATCAAATCAGTGCAGCTGATAAATTTGTTCTAAAAATGGATGATGGTGGCAGTGAGTAAACTCTGTTTTCACAACAAAAATTAAAATACTCTACCATATAAATTAAATATTTCAACACTGCTTGTAAATTGTCTGATTATATTGGACAAAAAATTGATTTTTTCATTGTTATAAATGTATTAAGATTATATTCATTTTTTTGTAGTGACCAACATCAACTTTGCCCTGATAACAGCTCTAAATGAATTGAAGACTCATTCTAACAAAGAAAGAGCATCTATGGTGTTTTTCTTAACTGATGGTGAACCAACAGAAGGCGAAATAAACTTTGAAAAAATTGCTATCAATGTCCGTGAGGCAAATGGAAAAGAGGCAGCCATCTTCTCTCTGGCATTTGGTGAAGGTGCCAACTATCAATCATTGCAGACTATCTCAGCTCAGAATTCTGGCTTTGCTAGAAAAATATACGAAGCGTCAGATGCGGCTCTTCAGGTGGCCAGCTTATACCAAGAAATTTCCGCAGTAGTCATGAAAGATATTTCCATCTCATTCTTGCCCAGCAGTGTCGATGAGTTTACCCTCACAGATAACAAATTCCCCAACATCTTCAATGGTTCTGAAGTTGTGGTATGTGGTCAAGTGTTGGATAAGGCCCGTGAGTTCCAGCTCTCCATCAAAGGTGTCCAGCAGTCAGGGGAAGTAAATCTCATACTTGAGACAGATGATATCAGTAATCTTATCCTGAACCCAGAGGATCCTTTGTTTAGTGGACCGAGAAACTTTGCCGGAATTGTTGAGAAAATGTGGGCGTACCTCACCATCAAACAGCTGCTGAGGGAGAAAGATAAGAACTTGTCTGATAAAAAAGTTATGGAGTTGGACAAGAAAATCCTTGACATGTCACTGAAAGTAAGAATAAAGTAAGGTGTTTGTGAGGTTCTCCATAGCTCAGTGGTTCTCAACCTTCCTAATGCAGCGACCTTAAATGCTGTTCCTTTTGTTGTGGTGACCCCCAGCCATAAAGCTATTTTCACTGCTACTTCATAAATGTTTTCCGATTGTCTCAGGTGAACCCTATGTAAGCGGTCTCGACCCACATGTTTAGGGCCGCTGCTATATTTGTATTCCCAATGGTAACAGAAAAGGTTTTAACTATTGAAATGGGTAGGATGCAAACTGATATTGCAATTTATGGTTCTTATGTGATGGAGAGTTATTTTATAAGGATGCAAACTGATATTGCAATTTATGGTTCTTATGTGATGGAGAGTTATTTTATAAGGATGCAAACTGATATTGCAATTTATGGTTCTTATGTGATGGAGAGTTATTTTATAAGGATGCAAACTGATATTGCAATTTATGGTTCTTATGTGATGGAGAGTTATTTGATAATTTGAAATGGCACTATTGATAGGATTTTAAAAATGCTGCAACATACTTTAATTGTAAAAGCCCTTTTAAAAAAATGACTATTGTTGCAATGCATTTCCCATTTACTAGAAGCATTGGCTCAGGCCAGTTGATGGCCACCATTGTAATGTATTTTTATTTTGTCCCCAAGTACCAATTTGTTACACCTTTGACTGCTATGGTGGTGACCAAACCAGGTCAGCAAGAGCCAAGTGAGTCAATCTTGAAAGACAAAGGTAATGAGGTCACAGGGGAAGATCCACCAATAATCAGAGCACAGGCTAGTAGTAGTTGTAAGTAAATATACTCCACTAAAATAATTTATTTATTTAATCATAAGCTAATAATATTATATATGCACCCTTAAAATATACATAAAAGAACATATAATACTAACAATTTAAATAATAAGTATTTTTTCTGACTAATTTCTAAGTGCCCCAGAGTTTGATTTGATGACAGTAATCACTAACTGCCACATTAGTTTACTCCCCAGAGTTTGAGTTGATGACATTAAACACTAACTGCCACATTAGTTTACTCCCCAGATTTTGATTTGATGACAATGAACACTAACTGCCACATTATATTATTTCTAGATCAGTTCTCTCAGTCCAAATTTTTAAACAAAAAAAAAACAAATGTTCCTTTGCAGTTGGACAAATGGGGAGTATTGCTTATAGACACTATAGACAGAAACTTTCCTATGGTTCATCTTCCGCTAAGGGATTTTTGGGAGAACCAGTATTTCTTATTGATTCTGGAGCTGTGGGAAAATCCCACACAAAGCTTTGGCCACAAAAGAGAAGTAATAAAACTGTATTGGCTTTGATTTACCAATAAATAAGCTTGTTCCACTTATTAACAAAGAACTCATATGATTAAAGAAATGTGGGGGAGCCCTGTGTGTATTAGCAACAAATAATTTGTTTGATTTAGAAAGATGGCTACCGGTACTTTTTTAATTTATCTCTACGTTTGTGCATTTCTCAGAGCAGCCAAGAAAAATAACCGAAAACCAGAAAAAGTCAAATATCTGGTTCAAAGGTAAGTGAGGCATTGCAGTGTGAAGCATGTAGTGATGATGTCAGTCTGAGATCAGTAAAATTGTTATAGAAAATAAAAAACCCACTTTGTCTAGTAATAAGGGCTTGTGTAATAATAATTTAAAACAATTTAGAACCAAGCATGCAGTGATCTGCATGTTGCTTAATTCACCGATGAATGCCCGCGTCAAATGTATCGGGTTCAAACACGTTTTTCTTGGAAAAATGTCTTCAGAATACTTAGACAGTCATAGATAGATAGATAGATATATCTTCTATTCAATAAATTATTGATTGATTTTATGTTATTTCAAAATTCAATAAACTAATATAAACCTGATTATCCAGGGTAATTTTTATTTCTGCTAATCCAGCTAATAAAAAGACTGGATAATCAATTACATTATTCAATATAAAGAATAGAAAATAATAGCTACAGAAGCATAATCCATGCAGATTTGATCCTCAACTTCCTAGTTTGCTTTATCTTCACCTTTAAAATCTCTGTAAAAAACTAATTTTTAAGAAATTCAATAAAACAAAGAATTGACTTTTGGGGTGCATGCCGCTTTCTGTCCCTAATTTTAAACTGATCCGACGGATGTCAAATTTTTCAGGCATTCACAATTCAATGTGCAGTTGGCAAATTTTTTTTTTTAAATTTGCTTTTAACTAACTATTTTTGTCTTGTCAAACTTCAGAAGAAAAATAATGCACCATTTTTTTTACAGACTTTCCTCTGTCAGCTTTTGCCATCAAAATAGGAAAAAAAAGTGTGTGTGTTGTACCCAAAAAACTTGAGAGTGGCGTATACAGACTTGTGGTGGCAGATGATGGTAAATATAGCAATCGATACTTTGCAAAATTTGACTATTAATTCATAAATGACCGATATAAACTAAATATGTCGTCGGTACATTTTTAATGGTGTTGTTCCTGTTGATTTGAGTTTTTTAAATCCAGTTGTTTTAAACAGAGCATATCTAAAATCAAATAAGATAAGATCAGATGAGTTAAAGTAAGATGAGAAAGATTAAATAAGATTATTTACAGATCCAAATACATATATTACAATTTACATGCTTATTTCCAAAATGTCAAATAAGAACATAGACAGTAACCATTCTGATTAAGATAACATGTTTTTAAAACATGAAAATACAGCTGCAACTTAAGAGACAGTCTTTGAGTTTTTTTTTGTTGTTTTGAAACTAATTTGTAGCAAGGCGTTAGGTTAACCTTTGTGTTGTCAGATTCTTCAAGAAAAAAGTACATTTGGTAGAGGAATAGACTCCATTAACATAAGCATCAACTCTGAAGTAATGATACTTGCACTTTTATCTTATAATATAAATGGGTTTTTTTCAGGTTATTTCATCAACTTAGAGGTTGGTTGCTCCAACTTACCCTGTGTTTCCCAAAAAGCTATGAAGATAATGGCTTACTACAAAAACACCAACGCTACCGTTGAGCTTGTGAACATTGCTACTGATTCTTGGAAGTATTCGGCCAGTTCAAACTTTAGAACAGAGCAATTAGGCAATAATTTCACAGTCACAGGTAAGATGATATTTAGGATCCTTGCGTCATTAACAATATGGGGCTGTGTTTTCAATATTAAAATCATCGGACGATGTTATAAAAATATCTTTTCAAAGTGCTGATAAGTTTTAATTAATTTTTTGAAAATTATATTTTGAAACTTGACTTTTCTTTGTCTTTAGTTCTTTTAATTTAAATTTTCATTTGAATTTAAAAAAAAAAAGAAAAAAAAGATACATTTAACATTATCTTCCAGGTGAAAATGCAAAACTGAGCTTTTTTTGGCATACGAGTGGCAGCAAAGGCTACTATGACATCATAATTGAACTTGATCCTGGAAAGAAATACACGGGTCTCACAGGTAACTGGAACTATTAGATAATTTGATTGCTTCTTAATTTTACTTCATAATACAATGCAAATCTCAAAGTTCAAACAAGTAGGTATATAGTTCTTTTTGGACAAATACAAATGTTTTATTTACAAGTCAACTGAGTGACTGTTTTGTAAAAAAAAAAATAATAATAGAAGGCTAACACTGCTAATTATATGACCTCAAACAGACGTAGTTGCTAATTTAACTTAATAAATTGATTTGTTGCTGATTAACATAATATTTATGTGAGTTTATTTTGTGCCACTGGTCCCACTGTTGGTTATTATATAATGTGTGTGTTATTTGTTTTGTTTAAAAGCTGAAATCATGAGGAAAGCTGGCAAACAACAGAAGAAAAAAGTTGAATCTGCTTGCAAGTCATTACAAACTCAAGCCTCCATCAAATTCAACAAGAAGCTGGCAAGGAAGTACCGCATTGGAAATGTTTAAAAAAGGAATTACCGCATTGGAATAAATTCGCTGTGAGACAGATTAGTCTCTTGTTTTTTTAAATGTTAATTTCAGGGGTGGGTAAGCTATTGTTCAGACTGAGGGCCAAATGAAAATTAATAAAACAATTTTGTGAAGGTCTTGCAGGTCACTGGAAGGTTTTGCAGGTCGCACTGAACATTTCAGCAGGCAGCATGTGGCCCTCAGGTTGTAGATTGCCCCCACCCCTACTTCGTCTGGAGCTAGCACTGTAAACACCATTATGCATTTTTCTATTTACTTTACTTTTTATGTCAGTATGTAAATATTTCACTTGATCACAAATTAAAGATATAATATTATGTAAAGTAGTAATTTTCTACAAGCCTCCACAGAAAAAAATGTGTGTAGGACCACAAAAAAAAAAGACAGCAGGTAGACATAAATTGCAAAAAAGCAAACAAAAAAAACCCACTTAGTTCCTCTTTATTTAATTAACCCTTTTAAGGTGGAGCATTTTTGGGCTTTCAGTGCCAAGAAAACAGAGCCCTTCTCTAAAGCCCAGCACTTAAATGCAAAAAAAAATAAAAATAATAATCAAGTAATGACTTTACAAATATAATACTATATATGTTCTTGTAAGAAATTGAACTAATACAATCTATGTGACTCAAACTGAAATCTCAAAATTTATGCCAATAAGATATCCTGATTTGCATAATTTATTCATGTAATTAAAAAAAAAAAAAATCGGTCCACTTAGTATAAACATATCTTGCTTGTGGGGAATTTTCTGATATAGAAGAAGAAGAAGAAACCTAAATAAGTCATAACAAACATTTTTATTGAGATTCAATATGAAAAACTGCATAAAGTATTTGACTGGTGGTGCTTAAGCATTGTTGCATACGTCTTGGTATTATATTTTGTAGGCATTTGTAGGTGTCACAAGGTACAAAATAAATTGACATATAGAACCGTAAATAATCAATGAAAGTATAAAAAAAAAAAAAAAAAAAAAAAAAAAAAAAAAAAGAAAAAAAAAAAGAAAAAAAATAAAAAAAAAAAAAAAAAAAAAAAAAAAAAAAAAGAGAGATTAAAAAGCAGCGATGATCAAGAAATGAGAGATGCGATATGATTAGCTGAATTGAAGACCAGCCAGCCAATCTCAAGCCTTGTATTTTTGGGATGTTGGATTGGCCCCTTGTATCAAAAGGGTTAAAAATCCCTTTTTATGCATCAATACTTCAATTTTTTTTAATGGCCAATTCACAAATATTTGTATAATACTGAAAAAAGTAGAATCCTAGAGAAAATATAGAACTAAAAAAAATCTCCCTGTGTTGACTTGAAGCAATCTACAATATGTTAAAAATAACTTAAAACCTTAATGAAGTTAGTGAAATGATATGAACCTATAGTCAATTATAATGTTTTAACATTTCACTGACAGGTGGTAGGCCTATCTTTGATGTTTTCTTTCAAGAATTACTGATAGAAAAATGTATTGTACTACTTAAAATAATTAACAGGATTTAAGATGAACATTGGAAAATGGTTTTGTTTTTTTTGACAGTAAAACTATATGGAATATCATGCTTTTTCTTATCTCACTTCATCTCCTAAAAATTTGAAAAATAAAAAAGAAACAAAGATGTCTTTCAAATTTTTGTTAACAAATGTTTTTGTAAATGTTCAAATTAAAACTTTTCCATTCAAAAATGATATGTGGAGTTATTTATTTTTGAAGCATATTTTTACAATAGCAACTTTTATGATATATAGTAAATGACAAGACCCAATTCTAAATGTATAGCACAGTCCGGTCATGGAAACTGGCAAGGGGAATTGTATTTAATTTTTAACTAATATAATTTATATATTGATATAATTTAAATAGTTCAGTGTGACATAAAATAATTTTAAAACTAATACTGTAAAGTTATAACTAAAGGGAAATAAAAACGTATTTAATTTTTAACTATTTTTATTTCCCTTTAGTTACAACTTTACAGTATTAGTTTTAAAATTATTTTATATCACACTGAACTATTTAAATTATATCAATAAACAAAAACATTATACATAGATATTTTGTGAAAATAAAATTTAAATAATATCAATATGCAGCACATGGTTGAGTGTTTTTTTCCCCCACTCATTGTAAACTCAACTGGCACATTAATTTAATTTTTTTTTTTTTTTTCCAAATTAAGGTAATGGACAGCAAAATTAATACAGCTTTTATAAAGTAAATGTTAATGGAAAAAAAAAAGAAATTTATCCAACTTATTTTCTTGATGTGAATAGAAATAACTGAAAAAGATTTCTTTTTTTTTTAAAAAGAGGTGGAGGAGGAGGGGGGGGGGGTTGCATGGGGTGTTCATAAAATGTAGGATACAACGGTGGATGTAGGAGAAAAAATGACTTTTGCACATGTGATATATCAATGGCACCCATCAAAACAACTGACGACTGCAACATATTTATATAACAAGCGAAAAACATTACATTTGACTTTAAAAGTTCTTTATTATTGGCAACTAATTTTATGACGTGTTGATGTGAACTTGAATCAGAGCTGTGGTGTGACTTTTCGGTTTTTGCCATTTGATCTATTCAAATTCACTGCAATTTTATCGAAATAACTCCTTTTAATGTTATTGAAATACCAAAAGCATTCGCAACCTCGGGGGCTCTTAACACTTAACAAGCTGTGCCCCCTACCCCAGCAGCTAATGTAACGGCTCTGATGTTACCACCACAAAAATCTTGCCCCGCCCCAGTTGGCACTAACGATAGCTATGTCACCGAACTCTAAATGTAAAAGTTTTATTATTTTACATGATCAAGTCATGATTGTTCAAACACTATTTCATGGTAGTACTGGCTAAGATTTTAATTTTATTTGAACTGAACATCTTTGATGTATTTTACTCCTAGGCAAACACTACACATTTATACACTTGTCCTGGAAAGAGGGGAAAACCAGTTTTTGATGCCAACTAATTCAAAGTATTTTTTAAAATGGGATTTAGCATTGTTAGCAAAGTTAAATGTCATTTTTTACAGTGATTAAAATTTCAAAGATTTTTATTTTTGTTCTACGGCAGGGGTGGGCAAACTACGGCCCGCGATGCGGCAAACAATATTATGCGGCCCTCGAAGACATTTGAAATTTTTAAAAAAATTACTGTGTTTTTAAGTTATTTTGTTGAATTTTACAAAATTTCATGTATCGTTATGTACGGATATGATTGTTTTAACATTTTGGATTAAATTCTTTCTAATTTTCTATTTTTTTTAAAACAGTCCTTGACTTTTGTCATGTAATGCTAAAATACCTATTCACCGATTTTAATTTAGAGAAATGTTTATCGACATGTAAAATTGGACATAATATACGTGTCGCCCCCCAATAGCTTTACATTTGTCAATGTGGCCCTCCGCACAACAAGTGTGCCCACCCCTTCTCTAGGGGCTTTAGAATACAGGGGAGATAATCTTAGGCTGCTCTTTAAAAAGTGTGAACTAATCTCTTAACTTTCTAATAGACAAAACAAATAATACCGTTATTGAAATCCTGTCCACACTTGTCATGTGCCGATGTGGAATTTTTTTTATAAAGGATTGAAACGAGAAAACAAGTAAAATGCACACAAGAAGAAAAGAGTTCAAAAACATTTTAAATGGCACTGACCTGGTGATAATTTCATTAAATACTAATGCTTTATATGGTGTCCTGTACTGATGTAATGAACCGTTTAAAAAGCATTCTGATATTATGACTCTATATTATGTCAGATAATCATTGCTAATCAGAAAGTATTCAAACACCTTAACATATTTGTTATTTTGACCTGTGCCATTATGGTAGCAGCCGATAGGTTACTGGCTGAAAATTTTCTGGGGTCATTCCAGCATTTTGAGGTTTCAGATAGTTATATAAAATTATACAAATCCACGCGTGAGTGTGTGTGTTAATAGAGCACAGTTTTGAGAGTTCGTCCTAAACACAATTTAGTCAAAGTACTCAAATGCTCTTTTTTTTTTTTTAATAGTGTGCGAAAATACATTGGAATCTTAGCCGGTTAAATGTGGGCGATGTCAAAGTTATAACACAAGTGCACATAAATAACTCATAATCTATGACCGCCTAAAGCGCTGCTTAACTGGCCAGACAACGTAAGTCTTTTATAAGTTGTTTCTTTCTTTTTTTTGGGGGGGGGGGATTTTTTTTTGTTATAGGGAAGCGATGTTTGTGACAGGTCATCGTTTGATGCGATGACTGCACGCTAATTATCACCACTTTAAAGTATCGGTGCTTGCTAGTCTGACGCGTGAGTTGGTTTGTCTCTGGTTTTATTTTTTTATTCACAACATTGAATCTAAAAACAACAACTTTTCAAATGTAACTCTTGTGCACATAACACATCACGAACGAATAACCGACTATTAAAAATGCCGTAGGTCTTAGAGTGCTCCCATTGACCCCTGCCTTTACTATACATTTTCACAGAAAACATAATGGTGGTTTTAAAATATGACTTTTGATAAAGAAACGAAATTCCTCTTAAATCGCGGAAAAAAATAATTAAAGGAGGCAAACGGCAGATCTCAGTGTGTAAAACAACATGTTTCAAGATCATATAATACTTAACCTAATGAAATTTTTGCAAAAAACATATTATATTATTGGACTTAGCATGGAAAGATTATAAAGTTTTCATATAAACTATTGCATTAGAAATTATTAATGTTATTGACTAAACCGTGAAAAATTAGTATAGCTTACTAGATAGTTTGGTTATGTGTGTCAATCCACAACACGTGGACTTATTCAAACAACATCCATATCTAGACAATCAAAGACATGTGGACTAACTCAATCCAGAGCCGCACCTAGACAACCAAAGACATGTGGACTAACTCAATCCAGAGCCGCACCTAGACAATCAAAGACATGTGGACTAACTCAATCCAGAGCCGCACCTAGACAATCAAAGACATGTGGACTAACTCAATCCAGAGCCGCACCTAGACAATCAAAGACATGTGGACTAACTCAATCCAGAGCCGCACCTAGACAATCAAAGACATGTGGACTAACTCAATCCAGAGCCGCACCTAGACAACCAAAGACATGTGGACTAACTCAATCCAGAGCCGCACCCAAAGACATGTGGACTAACTCAATCCAGAGCCGCACCTAGACAATCAAAGACATGTGGACTAACTCAATCCAGAGCCGCACCTAGACAACCAAAGACATGTGGACTAACTCAATCCAGAGCCGCACCTAGACAATCAAAGACATGTGGACTAACTCAATCCAGAGCCGCACCTATACAATCAAAGACACGTGGACTAACACAAACCACAAAGGGGTCGTTCGCAAAAAATGACCTTTTCAGACCCCCTCCTCCCTGTCACAAAGTGTCACAAATTCTTTACCCCCCCCCCCCTTTAGTGTCAGGTCACACCTTATAAAATTCAAAACATGCATAAAATTTTCATAACTAAAGTAATATTTTATTTTATTCTTTAACATTTTCCCATGATGGATTAAGATTTAGTATTATTAGAAAACTGTGACGTAAAACGCAAAACAAGGAAGCCCACCCCGAGCCTAATGTCAAATGGCCACAACAGATTTTGCGTCATTTTTCGATATGCGCAGAAGGTGTGCGCGACTGAGTTTCACGGTAATTATAATGAGGCAATTTAGTCCTAAAATATTTTTAAAATTAATTGAAGATAGATTTTTAAAAACTGGAAAAGTTTAGAGTTAAAAAAAAAGTAAAAATTGTGAAGTTACACATTTTTCCCCCCCCCTCCCCCTGTCACAAAGTGTCACAAATTCTAGACCCCCCACCCCTCCCCCCGAGCTTGATGTAATTTGCTAACGACCCCAAACAGACCTAGGCAAAAAAAAAGTGGACTAATTCGAACTACAGCCGCACCTTGACATTGAAAAGCTAAACCTTGAGAGGATGCGTCTAGTCAACCATGGTTGGCGACTTATCTAAGAGACGTAAGCTCTGATAACAAAATCATACCACTTCAGTCCTACAGGTACAAACTCGTAGTTAAATCATAGGGAGACGACCACAGCTAAAATAATCTAGACCTGAACAATACAAGTTATAAAGAAAATCACTTTATATTAGCAAAGGAATCGAAATGAGCAGTGCTTCTTTCAAACATATTTACCCCGGAGGTGGGTGGGGGGGGGGCAGTAGCCAGAGGCATAGTAAAGGGGTGGCATACGGGATATACGTCCCGGGGCACCAGACCAGCAAGGGCACCAAAATGGGCTTTGAGAGTATTTAATGGTTGAAAATAATTCGTTTCAAAGTTGATGGGGAGGCGTAAAAATTTTTTTTAAGGGGGGGGAGTTTTTTTTTTTTTTTTTTTTGGGGGGGGGATGGGGGTTCACTCAGGTGTCACTTTTTCTTTACATGGAGGTGTGACAATTTCGGACAACTGCAGCAGAGCTTGGATGATGAAAGGGAGGGGCGGCAATGGTGGCACTAATACTAGCTACGTCACTTGGGAGTGTATCCATCGGCAACAACATTAACGATCATTTTCATCGGAAAGTAGGGTACAAATTGAGCGTGCCGATGACTCTTGAGCTGTGGAGGGGTATGGGGAGCCTTTTTCTCCAGAATTTTTTGTTTTTATTGTTTTCAAAATCAAGAGGTGCATTCTGGA